ATAAATTTATCTCTTGATCGATGTGTTTGTTCTGTGTCTCATGCTGGGAACCCGAAGAAGTGAATTTAATTTTGTTTGGTTTTGTTTCCCCCTTGTAAGAACCACTGGGTCCCATTGTGCTCCTGGGAAAGGATGGCATTTCTTACCCCTAGGATCCCGCCGTGAGCCATGATACTGAGTGAGGGGCCACGGCTGCGCGGAGGTGACTTGCGTCTTTGCGGTAACTCACCGCTCACCGGGCAAGAGGGTCTGAACCAGTACCAATATTTACCAAGCTGAAGCAATGCAGGAGGAACCCAGAAAACAGCAGGAACTAAAAATAGAATGAAAAACAGAAGTGAGGGTTTCCACAGATTGGTATCTTGCAAATGCCCAGTTTTTCGAATGCTGACAAGTATCCAGTGTGACTCTGAGGTCAGAGGAGGAACTGACACTCAGGGGCTGCAAACTCCAAGCAAGTCACTTCTGTGCCTCTGTTTTCCCATGTGGAAAGTCGGTTAGATCGGGAAACCACCCCGCTTTACAGCTGAGGGATGTTGTAAGGAATGAAGACGAAGAGGGCAGAAGGCTTCAGGGCTAGGAAGGTTAAGGAATAATTATAAATGATTCATAGTAGAGTGAAGAGAGTCAGAGGACTTAAGTTCAAATCCCGGCTTTAACATATACTACCTTTAGGGCAGCTAGGTGGTGCAGCGGATAGAGCACCAGCCCTAGATTTGGGAGGACTTGAGTTCAAATTGGACCTCAGACACGTAACACTTACTAGCTGTGTGACCCTGGGCAAGTCACTTAACCCCACTGCCTAGCCAAAAAAAAAAAAAGGCAACATAACATATACTACCTTTGTCACCTTGGACAAGTCTCTTCTTCTCCTGGGCTTCAGTTTCCTCATTTATACCATCAAAAGGATTGGACTTGGGGGGGGGGTGTCAGTTTGTTTGGTTGGGTTTTTTTTTTTTACTATGGGCCAGGCAACATTTTATAATTACTCTCTCATTTGGTCATTACAACAACAACCCTGGAAGGCAGGTACTGTTATTATCCCCATTTTATAGATGAGGAAACTGAGGCAGACAGCGGAAAGCACCACATGATGTCCGAGGTCATGCAGCTAGTAAGTACCTGAGGCTGACTTTAAACTCAGGTCTTCCTGACTCCAGGTCCAGTGCTTTAGTCATTGCTCCACCTAGCTGCCGGGCTGCACGTCATGACCTTTAAGGTCCAGTTCTTCTCAGCTCTAAATCTATGGTCCCAAGTGTCTGCCCCTTGCTCTGCCTCAGTTTCCTCATTTGTAAGATGATTATGTTGAATTTGATGGTCTCTAAGGTCTCTCCCAGCTCTAAGCCCATTATCCTGAGTCTCTTCCTCTCCCCATGCCTCAGTTTCCTCATCTGTAAATTGAGAGGATTGGGCTAAATGCCCTCTAATGTCCCTTCCAGCTCTGGGTCTAGGGTACTAGGATCCTCTTCTCTAGAATAGGAGAATTTGTTTCAGAACAAATCTTTTTTTCCATGGCTTTGTGACTTGTGCATTAAAAAAAAAGTGAACCTAGAATAAAATTTTTTTAAAAAGAAAAATGGAGCTAAAGTTGAGTTGGATGCTTCTCCTTCCTCTTGGGAAAGCACCACATGATGCCACTGCAGAGAAATTTCTGTTCCTCCTCTCGGCAGCCACAGCAGGCTTTGGGACCCTTGTGCACAGCCGGGACTTCCCCAGAGAGATGCTCACCCTTTCCCACAGCGATCGCTTTCCCGAGAATCGATGTAGGTCCTGTCCTTCTAATAGAAAAGCCCTCGTGTAGGCAGAGGTCATGCTAGTGAACCTCTCCAGTAAAAAGACATGGCTGAGGCTTGAGGGCAAAGCGCTCCACTTCTTTGGCCAACCCAAAGGCTTTGAATGTCATTGCTGTCTTGACCAAGCCTCCTATTCATAGCACACATTTACACAGTCTTTTAAAGTTTGCAAAGCATTTCACAAATGTTACCTCATTTGGACCTCGCAATAACCTTGGGATGGAGGGGCTATTATTGCCCCCACTTTATGGATGAGGAAATGGAGGCAGATAGAGGTTAAATGGCTAGCCCAGAGTCACACAGTCAGTATTTGTTTGAGGCAGGATTCTAACTCAGGTCTTCCTGATTCCACCACCTAGCTACTGCACCTTACACAACTCCCCAGTAGAATGCAAGCTCCTTGAGGGTAGGGGAAGTTTCATGACTGTATTTGTATCCCCAGGACCTAGCACAGTCCCTTGTACACAATGGGCACTTAATAAATGCTTGTTGATTGACGTATTTCACCACAACCCAGCAATTCACAGGATCTCAGGGTTGGAAGAGACATGGGAGGGGAACTCATCCGAGCTGGACTTAGCCATCCCTACCAGGTGGTGTTCCAGTCTTGGCTTGAAGACCTCCAGCAAAGGGGCCCCCTTTAATACCCGAAACAGCCCATGTCATTCAGAGCATTATAGATTTCGAGATGGAAAGGGTCTTTGAAGTCATCCAGCCATAGGATCATGGTTTTAGAACGGGTCGCCCCACCAAAAAATGCAGCTAAGGGTCATGGTAGATAGAAGAATGGACATGGAATCAGGAAGACCTGCATTCAGAATCCTTCCTTAGACATTCACCAACTGCACGATCCTGGGAAAGTCATTTAATCTCCCTCAGCCTCTATTTCCTTCTCTGTAAAAAGAAGAGTCTGGCATTGACAACCTCTAGGGTACCTACCTTCTAGTTCTAAATTGATAGCTCTATGAATCCAACCCTTTCATTCATAGATGGGGAAACTGAGGCAGACAGCAATTAAGTGACTTGCCCAGGGTCGCATGGCTAGGAAGGATCTAAGAGAGGATATGAACCCACTTCTTTTTGTTTTGTTTTTGTTTTTAGGCAATTGGGGTTAAGTGACTTGCCCAGGGTCACACAGCTAATATGTGTCAAGAGTTCAGTCTGATGCCAGATTTGAACTCAGGTACTCCTGACTTCAGGGCCAGTGCTCTATCCACTGTGCCACCTAGCTGCCCCGTGAACCCACTTCTTCCTGACTCTCTAGGTCCAATGTTCTCTCCACTGTGCCACCCTGGCTTTCCAACCCACCTTGTTTTACAAATGAGGAAGTTAAGTCCCATAGAGGAGAAATGACTTGTCCAATGTCAGATAGAGGACATGGCAGAACTGGGATTTGAACTCAGGATCCTCTGATTCTAAATACAGTATCTTTTTACTACTCCATAGCAATCGTGAAATCTTCCCTTCCACTAATCTGAAATCTCTATGCACAAAAGTAATGTGTACTTTAGAGTATATTTTATTTATTAGATACTAAGGAGAGCTACCACTACCTCTGAAATTCTAGAGTGAAGTGGCGAGGTGGTTCAGTGGATAGAGCACCAGGTCTAGAATAAGGATGACCTGAGTTCAAATCCAGCCTCAGACACTTACCAGCTGTGTGACCCTGGACAAGTCAGTTTAACTCTGTCTGCCTCAATTTCTTCCTCTATGAAACAAAGATAATAACAACACCTACTTCCCAGGATTATTGAGAGGACCGAGTGAGATAATATTTGTAAAGTTCTTTGCAAACCTTCAAGGGCAATGTAAATGTTGGTTATTCTTATTATCATTCCCTTAAGCATCAGACTTAGAGTGAGGAAGATTTGAGTTCAAATCTGGACTAAGGCACTTCATAGCTGTGTGACCCTGGGCAAGTCACTGAACTCTCTCAGCCTCAGTTTTCTTATTCAATAAAATGAGGATAATAACAGCACCTACCTCATAGGAGTGTGTGAGGGTTAAATGAGATAAGAGATGTAAAACACTGTGCAAATCTTAAAGCGCCATAAAATGTAGTCGATTATTACTGTCGTTATTATTATTATTATTACATTTCCTCCACCTGGCATATCTTTCCTCACTCATCACCCCCTAATGAAGTCCCACCTATCTTGAGGCCAGTTCAAATGGCAACTCCCTAATTGACTAATGTTATAACTGACGTTGTTATGTAACACCCCAGACCAGAAGCATTTATGCTGGACTCCTCAGTGAAATGAAGGGATTGGACTCTGTGGCCCAGAGGGCCCTTCCAGCTCTCTAACTCTGACCCTTTGACCTTGGGAAATTCACTTCAACTCCCTGGGCCCCTGTTTTCTCATCTGTGAAATGACACGGATGGACTCGATGGCCCTGAGAACTTTTCCAGCCCAAACTTCATGATCCTCTGACCCAGTAATTGTTCTAATCTCCCACGACCACAGATGTCCTTGCAGTCCCCAGGTAGGATTGGAGAATGAGGGCTGGGTCGACCCAGGGGAACTCATCTACCAACACCCGATCTGAAACGCTTACCACGCAGCTGGTGTTGACTCAGGACAGATTGTTTTACTTCCACTCTACCCCAGACATAGAGAAGCCATAGAAAACTAAACCAGGAACGGGGTGCTGCTTCCTACGGCTCCCTCCCCTCGACCGGACAGCGGAAATCCAACCCAGCCTTAACAGCAGTCACTCCCCTCCTCTCCAGGGACACATTTTGTAAAGCAAATCAATGACGACAAGAATCATGGTAAGTAACAGCCGACTCCATAGAGCTCAAAGGTTTGCAGAGCTCCGTCATGTATTATCTGACTTGATCTCCCTGCAACAGCCCTATGAGGTCAATGGTACCAATATATCATCCCCATTGAGCCCCACTGAAGTAATTCTGTGACTTGGTCAAGCTTCTACACCTAATAAGTGCCAGAGGTGGGATTCAAACCTGTCTCTCCGTTAATTCCAAATCCAACATTCTTTCCAGTCTGTGCAACTCCGGGAGGAAGACTGTGGACTGGTCCTATTTTTGTGTTCAGTTATTCAGTTATTTCATTGACCCTCGTACTTAATCCTACTAGCACCCCTGCTCCTGTTACCACCATCCTCCCCATGCCCCACCCCATGCACATGTATCTACTCTGTTGTCATCAGTAGTATGTAAAAAAGACTCACTTCAGGCATCTGGAACATGGCAAAGAGGTTTTAATAGTGGGGCTTGAGGACATACCTAGAGAAGGCAGTATTTTCAGAGACAACCTTCTCTTCTTCCCCTATTCCCACCCTCACTTTCCACAAATCACTTCCAACACACATGTCTCTTTGGCATCCTGGTGAATTCAGTCAGGGCATGACATTCAAAATGTGTGGAGGTCCCACTGAACATCTGGATGGCTTCTGGAGCTAGTCTCCCTAAAATTACAACTCTTTGGGCAGGGTTTCAATGTTGACATTCCTTCTGAATTCTGTGTCTTTGACTCTCCTGGGCGCTTGGATCTCACACCACAGATCTTGAACTTGGTATAGACTTTTGGGAAGGAAGGGCTTGAGAAGTAATATACCAGGGGGTCCAGCATGCTGTTCATATAGGTGAAGCTGAGGGTGATGTGAAGGGCCACATGCACAGATGTGTCACAAGCACTTGATGGGACTGTCCAGAGAAAGTACAGTCTGGCCAAGACACTGGGCAGGTAGCAGATGACAAACACAGCAGCCACCACAACGATGAACCGGGTGGCCTTCTTCATCCGGGTTTGCCTGGTCAGCTGCTGCCTCTGCCTCAGGCTCCAGACGACGTTGAAGGAGCAGAAGGAGATGATGCCCAGCGGCAGGAAGAACTCCAGCTGGAACATGATGTCATGCCAGCCGTTGGCAGACTCCATGATGAAGCTCTCACAGGACACTGTTCTGCCCTGCACACACAGGTGGCTCTCAGTCAGCAAAAACAGAGTTCCCACAATGACCATGGCCCAGAGGGCACAGGTGATGCAAGCTGCTGTCCGGTTGGAGATGGTGTTCAGGGCGTGGTGGGGGTGGACCACCTTGAAATAACGATCTACAGCTACCACTGTGAGAAATACGATGCTGCCGGCTCGGTTGGTGGCCAGCATGAACAGTACCACTCGGCAAGGGATGTCTTCAAAAGCCCATTTCCGATTTTTCCGGTAGTAATCAGTCCGAAAAGGGAGACATACCATCAGAAGGAAGTCTGCCACGGCCAAGTTGAAAAGGTAGACGGTGCTTGGTTTCCATGACTTCATATGAAAGCAGAAGCCACACAGAGCGAGGCCGTTGCCCAAGGCTCCGAGCACGAATGCCAGGACCAGCAAGGGAGGCATCACCTGGGCGATGGTGTCCCCTTTGATGAGACAGCAAGTTCCGTTCATGACTGAGAGAGAGCCGGGGACGGGGCTCTTCTGCCCGTCTGACAGCTGAGCTGAAAGCTATCTGAGCCTCCCTCTGTAGCACGCTGGCATTGACCAGCCAGCTGATTCTCCGACTTCACCACGGTGGGATGCAGGTGTCTCACATCACACACATCTCATCTCTACCACCGCAAGAACAGAGATATTAATCAGGAAATGGCAGAGTCAGAGGGGCCTCCCTTGACCCAGCTCACAAGCTGGTGGCCTCCCCTGGAGAAAAGTGGCATGCCAGGGCTAGGACTGGAAGTGCAATGAGCTTGCCCACTGAGCGATTCTTTCCCAGGGAGCAGCCAACAGACCCACTGCGACTCATGCTGCCCAGCACAATGTCTTTTCTCTTCCTTGCCCAAGAAATGGTCGGGATAATTTTCATTTTCAGCTGGCCTGTTTCTCTTTGCAATCACTCCAGACTGACCAGCACAAACTACCCAAAAGGCACTAAGAGCTTGTTTGCCATCCCTCCTGGGGGGAAAGGCAAACATTTCCTGGAGACGTTCCCTGCCCCTTTGCTTGTGTTCCTCCCCCTGACCTCTGACTGACTGCCCAGTCCTCTCCTCCAACCCCATGGGGAGCCTGCATGGAGTAACAGAAGGAAAGGAGGGTCAGCTGTCTGCAACACCATGGATTTAGTCCACATTTAGACACATGGAGCAGGGGCAGAGGAGAGCAGTTTAAAGACTAATTCTGATAAGTCATTCTTAAGAATCAGAACTGCTTTCACTGCTGGGAAAAGCCACCGTGGCCACCATGACCACTTACCCTCACAACTGATGCCATGCTCTCCTGTACACATCCTTCCTCTGCCCCAGATCAATTGTGCAATTTTTTTAAGTCTGTGAAATGGAAACAGGCATCTTTTCTCATTGGTCTACCTCTATCTTTTTGGGAGTCAAATCCCCACACTCCTGGGAAGGGGAGCCTGGTATGTTTGCAAGAGACGATCAGGCTCTGAACTTGCCATGAGTGATCCAGACACTCAAAAGCTGAAACATATTTTGCTTGGGGGTGTCACTCAGTCGGTAGGGGGCCAGTAAAGAAAGTAGGTTTAGGATTGAGCCATGTGGCCAGTTTATCTGTGTATTCAAATGACCAGACACAAAGGTGGACATAGTACGACCCAGAAAGGCCCTTCCTCCCAAAGACTCTGGGGTCATATGGACCAGGTCTGATCCTGTGCTCTGACCCAAGAGGATCAGTCTTGCTTTGCCACTCATTGTCCCCACTTTGAGTTGCTCCAATTAAATCTAATGTTCTCTAAGTCTACATTTCTCCAAATATGGGTAACAGCGTCACCTATTTCCCATACAAACAATCAGGGTAATAAATGCATATTGAGCATAGGGAAGCTTTGTATTTACCCCCCACAGAAAAGGTGGAAGAAACAAAGACTCACAAGAGGTTACAAATGCATAGACCGCTCAGAAAACCAAACAGATCCTCTCAGAAGCCTAGGATTGCTCTCAGGGTAATCCTTGGCCTTCCTGTGAGCCCCTCTTCCATACAAAGTCCTATCTAGTTCCCCTAGATTTCATGGTGCCACTTTGTGGTACTAAAATCCCATATTTTACAGGAAGTCTTTCCCAATCCTCCTTAATTCTAATGCCTTCCCTATTAATTATTTCCTATTTATCCTTTATCTAACCTGATGTGTGTGTGTGTGTGTGTATGTGTGTGTATGAGTGTATGTGTTGTTTCAGTGCTGTCTCTCCCATTAGATTATAAGCTCCTCGAGGGCAGGGGCTGTCTTTTGCCTCTTTTTATATCTTAGGACAGTGCCTGGTGCAGAGTAGGAGCTTAATAAATGTTTACTGACTGATTGGTTTAGATTCCCTCTGGAAAGCAAACACATTAGATTCTGAACAATCTCCTTTCCCATTTGACCTTTACTGTCTGAGTAACTCACTGGCTTTACTCTCCAAATAGTCCACTGTACAGGAGCTATGAAGGCAATCCTCAGGAAGCATACAATGTCAGGAAACTCCCTTGTCTTTCTCAAAGGTCCAATCCCCAAACTCTTGAACTTGGAACCTCACAAAGTTGGTCTTATATGAGACATCTCTCAAAGCTAATGCTGCTCAGGAAATCTCCCTTAGCTGGCTAGAAGTTTAGATTACAGAATCATGCTCCTTGGGGAATTAAGAATCCTTCCCCCTCCACACAGGCATTTGGCATTTTTGAACATTGTCCATGAAACAATCCACAGACCAAATGGGCACGCACATTTCTGCCTCTGCCATGTGCCATGTAGGAAGTCTCTTAGTGCCTGGGGTTGCTACCATTTATTGGTTCCTCCTTTCAGGCTACATACAAGCACATATCTAGAGATCCCATTTACTTTTGCCACAAACTCCTCTTCAGGGGAGAAAGCTATGTATGAGCACAGTTTTCTCACCACCACCACCACCCCCAGAAAACAGGTCCACTCTCTGAGTGCTGGTCTGTCTTTTCTTTTTTTCTCCACTTAATAGCATTTTGGATTTTTTTCCAATTATGTGTAAAGATAATTTTCAACATTCACTTTTATGAGATTTTGAGCTCCAAATTTTTTTCTCCCTCCATCCCTCCCTCCCATTCCTCTTCCCCAAGATGCCAAGCAATCTGATATAAACTATAAATGTCTGATCTGTCTTTTCAAAGAGAAAGAGCCGCTAGCTTGCTTTTATAAATATGGATGGCAACAGTTGTTCTGAAAAGAATCTGTCTTTCTGACTCTTAGTCAGCCAATCACCAGGAGTCTCTGGTGTCCTGTCAGCAAGTTGCCAGTGGACATATTCAAATTCCATGAGAAATTGCTTCTCCAGTGCCTTGTATAAAGTTGGTTGGGGATCTCATCACACTGACCAGGGCCACCCTTTTCCTGACTCCCATCAACTCTCTCATAATTAAATAACAGATTTAGAGGTAGGACTGACCTTAAAGGACATCCGATCCAACTTTTTACAGATGAGGAAACTGAGGCCCAGAAAAGTTAAATGATTTGCTGAAAGCTACACAGTTGGAAAGTAATAGAATCGGGGTTTGAACCCAGGGTCTTGAACTTCACACCCAGTACTCTTTCCACTATATTATGTTCCTTTTCATAATCATAGTGGACACCCTCAAGTATGTGGCTCACCATGCCTGGAAGGCTCTCTCTCTCCTCATTTCTGCCTCCCGGCCTTACCGGCTTCCTTCAGTTCCCAGCTAAAATCCCACCTTCTGCAGGGAGCCTTTCCTGCTTCCCCTTAATTCTAGGGCCTCCCTCTGTTGCTTATCTCCAATGCATCCTGTCCATTGCTTGTTTATATGTAATTGTGGGGGGTTTTTTTGGCTAGGCAATGGGGTTAAGTGACTTGCCCAGGGTCACACAGCTAGTAAGTGGTATGTGTCTGAGGCCACATTTGAACTCAAGTCCTCCTGAATCCAGGACCGTACTCTATCCACTGTGCCACCTAGCTGCCCTTATATGTAATTGTTTGCATATTGTCTCTTCCACCGGATTGTAAGTTGCTCAAGACTATCTTTTTACCTTTTTTTGTATCTAGTGCTTAGCACAGTGCCTGGCACAGAGCAGGGGCTTAATAATGCTTATTGATTAAATGACTGACAGAACCTTGAAACAATTCAAATTCCACCTCAGATACTGGGTAAGTGGCCCTGGGCAAATCACTTAACCTCTTTGCATCTCACTTCCCTCATCAACAAAATGAGAGAATCAGAGTCAAAGGCTTCTCATAGTCCTGTGATCTTATGAAATACTGTTATCATTTCAGATTTAGATTGGGCCTTTTCCAAATGGAACCAGGTGATTTCCCAGTCATATTCCATAAGCAGCAAGCTTCGCTTTTGGAGGGAGGAAGGAACAGAGATGTAATTTTGTGGAAATTATGCCTAATGGCCTGCAACCTGGAGAGTTTGCCAGAGCTCTCATATGACGGGTATTTGACTCTGGATAAAGCCTCTTTAGACAGCAGGGTGCCATGGAAAGACTCTTGGGTTTGGAGTCAGAGAAACTGGATTCAAATATCGGCTGTGTTACTTACAGCCTGGGTGACCTTAGATAAGGCACATTCCTTCCTCTGCTACTCAGTTTCCTCATCTGTAAAATGAGAGTTGCACAGTGGATAGAGCACTGGCCCTGAAGTCAGGAGGACCTGAGTTCAAATCCAGCCTCAGACCAAACACTTGACACTTAACTAGCTGTGTGACCCTGGACAAGTCACTTAACCCCAATTGCCTAAAAATAAATAAATAAAGTAAAAATGAGGGTTGGATAAGATGATCTTAGTCACTTCCAGGCCAAGTCTGTGATCTCCATGTCTTGGTATCCTATTTCACAGTTGGCCAACCTCTTTTCCATGCTCTCTCACTGTATCGTTCCAACAGCAAGAACCATGACAACAATAAAGATTTTTATAGCACTTTCAGGTTTGCTAAACACTTTGTAAATATTATTTTATCTTCACAACAAGCCTGGGAGGTAGGTGCTACTTTTATCCCCACTTTATAAATGAGGAAACCAAGGCAGATAGTGGTTAAGTGACTTGCCCAGGGTCACACAGTTAAATTTTCTGAGGCTGGATTTGAACTCAGGTGACGCCAGGTTCACTGATGTTATCTGCTGTGCCACTTACACAGGAGGGTTGATAGGTTGCCACGTCTGGTTTCTAGAGAAGTAAATTGAGGCTGAGAGAGGTTAAGTAACTGGACAAAGGGAGGGAGGGAGGGAACAAGCCTTTATTAAGTACCTACTATGTGCCAGGCACATGCTAAGAACTTTACAAATATTATTTCATTTGATCTGATGTGACAAAACTATTAAGTGCTGGAACCAGGATTTGAACCCAAGTCTTCTGGGTAGAAGGCTGGATTTAGAGTCAGAAGACCCAAGTTCAAATACCTTCTCTGCTGCTTACTATCCAAGTGACCCTGGCCAAGTCATTTAACTTTTCTGGGCCTCTTCATTTATAAAATTAGAGCATTGCACCAAAGTATCTGTAATGTCCTTTCTAATTCTAAATTCTGTGATCCTAGATTCAAGCATTTGTCTGGTTCCTGAAGTTTCTAACCAAATGTAAACAATAGAAAGGATTTTTAGAAAGGCTAGGGGTTTGTGCAGTTTCTTCTATGGGATCCAGACTCTTTTAGTGAATGCTATGGTTTCTTTTTCCAATTTGCTGTACTGATTCTACTCATTAAGGCCTCTCTCCATCTATCTATCTGCAAAATGCCATAAATAGCCGTAGAATCATAGTATAAGGGTATATGTGTCCACCTCAACACCAATTCATGTAATTTTAGAAAGCCTGGAATTCTTGATTAAATCCATCAATCAAAAGTGTAAATAAGTCCTTAATTTGAGAAGAATGAAATATTTTGATCATTGAATGAAGATAGATTAACAGCTATATTGGAAATGTCTTGGGTTTTGTTTTTTTTTTTTACTTTTGAGGCATTTGGGGTTAAGTGACTTGCCCAGGGTCACACAGCTAGTACATGT